TACCATCAGTTTTACAATTATCAGAGGACTGGATAAAGTAATTGTGATGGAGTGTACCAGGCATTTGTTGCTCCCTGCCAGAGGCCCTGCTGCCTTGCCATGCTGCATCCTGAAAAGGTTTCCTGCTGGAAAGGAAGAGCAGTTGCTTCAGACCTCCAGGGGTTGCCTAGACAGTCCTCCCAGGATCAGCTGCTGGGAATTTGTCCTCTGGCATCTAAAAGGGCTGGAAGCAGAAAGACAAATCAGAGCCTAGCAGGCCACATAAAAATGGCTGGCATGTCTGCTTCTAGTAGGGGCTGTTCTGGGTGAAACCTAGAGAGGGAAGGCTTGCTTTCCCTGCCCTAATACAAGTAACCTGGCTGAGTCGGGGGTCTAACCTTGACAACATTGGCCTTAGATCTCTATGAAGGACTAGAGTTTATATTTTGACTTTAACATTTAGATTCCTATTTTGAGCTGAGATTTAATTTGTTTTCTGTTAACCCCAGAAAGGAACTGGACTGAGAGCGGACCTGGCCAGAGGGCTAGGCCTTAGAAGTGGTAGACCACTGCAGAATCAGGCCACCAGAAGGTGCTAGAGAGGCAGAACTCCTGTAATGCTGCATCTTGACATGAGGGGGCTTCTGGGGGTGAATGCACACCATTACAGCAATGTTAATGGAGTGGTGTGTCTTCTTTCTCCACTTTTATATTTGCTTCAAACTTTGTGGCCATATGGGCTCTTCACAACTCTAATTTACCATTATTTTGAACAGACCTATGTTGAAATATTAAGCAAAAATAAATGTATTGGATTTTGTTCGGCTCAGGTGTTGGCAACAGGCCATTTGACTTTAAAGATAAATTTAAAAAAAGCTAGCTTTGATAGTCTCTGGTTATAAAGTGTGACCAGGAAGGAGGAAGAAAAGATTACAAACCATCCTAACGTGAAGATCTTTTTATATCTATGCCAGATACAGCTACACCTCTACCACTTTTGGTTATATTAAATGCTGGAGGAAAAAAAACCCAGTAAGTTATTTATCTTATTTAAGTTTTCATTCATTTACACTATATATGGATGATTTGGCTATAATTTCACACACACCATAAAACTGAAAAATATATGCTGTACCAGCTGCTTTGTTGTGCAGTAAGAGATAATCACACAGGATTTCTATATTCCCTACAATGTATTTTGTCACCAGTGAAAGGGAATTAAAATAGCCTCCATAAAATCAAAGCTACTGCTTTAACACAGAATTGCTGATAGCACTTGGTCATCCTCCACTATACACATCCATATATACAAAGGGAATTCTAGCCTTCAACTATTGTTAAATTTAACGTTTTGTAACCTGAAATGTTCAGTTCCTTTACTAAAATAGAATTAATCCTCTTTGGAACTACTCTTAATCTGGTTTTTGGCACCAATTGTGCTACTATGGCAAAATCCAATAAATTCCTTCTGATACCAGTAATAAAGATGAGCCTTGTTTGGGTTTTTCCTCTCCTCCCCCCACCACACATGATCCGTGATTGAGGTTCCATATTTGTAACCAACATGCATATCGACAGCATGCATTAGCTCATAGAGCTAATTCCCCAGGTTTTGAAGATGCACAGAATCTCCCGTGTGGTATTGCCTCAATCCATAAAAATGCTGTGTTGGCATTTTAGAGCCTTGTAGGAACTTCCTCTGGTTTCTCACTGATGTCCTCTAGTGCTGGAAGTGCAGGAGAAGGGCGCTGCCTGTGGAGCGCCTCAGTTTGACCAAGCAGGGCCATATGGCATCAAGCCAGGGACCTTGATGTAAAATTTAGATCTGACAGGCTGTACAGCATCCAGACCTTATTTCTAACTTTAACCAAATATTATATTAAAATGAAATACAAAATCAATATTAAGACAAAGGAATGTACAATAATTACACAAATTATCAATGGTAACTTTAACTAGGGAATGATGATAATGCCACTGTTTATCAGACCAAATCCTATGTGACTTTTTCATGAACAGCTCCCATTAATCTTGTGACACACTTTCTCCGCTCATGATTATCTGTAGTAAATATTTATATTGTGGTAGTGTCCAAAGGGCCCAAGTATTAGGTAGTATTAGGGTAAGCTAGTATATTAACAAAATGATCACCGATGCAAAATCCCCATTATCTGCAATAGGAGCTTTATGCAAATGAGGTGAACAGGATTTGACAGTACTGGATTTTAAAATGAGTGAAAATAAAGATAAAACTACAAAAAGCCAACAACCGTAGAACTTTAAAACATCTGCAGAAAAAAAGGGGGAAAACCCTATAACAAGAACCTGAAGTGCCCTTATTAAAACTCCCTTATTTTCATGCACATCTACTCTGGAAGGTAACTTTGTAAAACTGGCAACATGGGGTTCCACATTTATTCTGTCATAGTGACACCAGGTCAAATTTAAAAGATATTTTTTGAACTTCCAGCCACAGAAATTCACAGCTTGATTTTCTATACCTGATTTGGTTTTTTAGGCTCATTGCATCACTACTTGTAATAGATAATTCAGCATCTGGGAATTAGCCAATTTGCTGGTGATGTCTGACCCAGATGATAACCCAATTCACTCTCCTCACTGTTTTGGCTCTGCAGGACTAATAAAGTTTTATTACTACTTACTTCTAGTCTGTAACGTCAGCAGATCTGACTCTGAATAGAACAGGGAATGATAAGAGGCTTCTATTTTTACAGTCACTTTTAAATTGTTCTGTAGTTACTTGTTGACAGCCTGACATTTTGCCATAAATCTCAAGAAGTTACCCTAACACCATTACATTATGATACATTAGCCTGTAGCTTTAGGCCAGATTGTGAACTCCATACTCACACAAAGTATTTGTTCACCAGGGAAGCTGCATTGAAGTCAATGTTCACAATCTGGGCCTTAAAAATTAAGGATTAAATTCCACGTGGTTTTACAAGTTGTGCAAAACCATTACAATCATTGGGGAATATGGGGATGGTCAGTTAGAACTAGCCTGAAGGGTTTACTTGCAGTGACGTCCACCTTTACCCATCCCATCACTCAAAAACATTGGTGCCGACTTTGCTGTCACTGTCTTAAAACACCTTCCCCCACCCCCAGTCTAGCTGTCTCCTAGAACTTTTTTGCATTCTTTTCACCACAAGACACACACCACGGCTGTCTGCCATCTGGGACCAACCATTTCTGCAGGCCATAATGGTGTGTCTGAATGAAAAAATACGACCACATCTCTCTGGGAATTTGCTGTTCTCTGTTGCATGTGGAGGGACTACACTGACTCAGAGTCTAATTTATGTAACTACCTCTGACTTCTACAGCAGTTTCAGCTGCTGCCACTCAAGGGTCTGCTCGCTCTGGGAGGTTTTAATACCATATCACTGAGGCCATCACAGGAGGCACTTGTGTTGGAGCGTTTAGTGTAACATGTTATGTGAGCAGTGATGCTGGAATAAGGCCTTGGCTTGGTTCCTGCTACTAGGGTTGCCAATTTTGGTTGGACGTATTCCTGGAGATTTCATCACATGACAGTCTTTAAAGATTAATCTTTAATTCTTGGAGATGCCAGGCCAATCCTGGAGGGTTGGCAACCCTGCCTGCTGCTGCTGTGCCGTAGCCCTATCTGCTGTTGTTTCTGTGACAGTGTCACAGGTTTTTGATACACTGTTTCTGGCTGTTGCTTTTTTCTTCTTTATTATTTAGACATAACAGAAGCTACTCAGGGGCCAGACCGGATCACTTTTGTTATACTCTAATCCCATCTAGTGCCACTTGTACTCTAGTGACACCGTTGCTTCTAGCTCGTTTTTTTGTGGCAAAAACATCTTAGATTTACTGCTCCTGTCATCCAGATGTGGTACTTCTGATGTGTCCTCTCTCTCCCCATTATTAATTATCTACCATTGGAAAGTTAGATTATGTTTTTAACAAAAGCTGTCTTGGTCTCCTGAGCCGTGCACTAAAACTCTTCAGGAAACAAAACAAAACTGACAAATGAACAGAAAAGCCATTGCCAAAGAGGTATCGGAGCCAAAGAGTGACATTAGTGAAATTTTTGTGACATTAGTACATGGTAGTCCTGTTCTTTGCAGGCCGAACTTCTGCCTCTTGAAATGTTCTGTTTGGAAAAGGAGATTGAGAAGAAATGAAGTTTGAGGCCTTGAAAAGTTCTTGATTTCCCTATCTCAGTGCACTCTGCACCAGAGAATGACTCTCTTCCCTCCACAATCACTTAGTTTATTTGACAAAATTGTTACTCCTCATTTACACGAGTGTGAGAGAGAAGAATTAGATCTATTGTATTTGACCCAGGCCCACACCATCTAAAGCAAGGGTTCTCAACCTTTTTCCTCCTAAGGCCCCCAAGATGCTATTAAAATTCCTCAGCCCACATGTGTCACAACAACTGTTTTTCTGCATATTCACTATCTTAAAAGCCGGGGCCAGCTTTATGGGGTAGCAAGCAGGGCACCTGCCTGGGACCCCATGCCACAGGAGGCCCTGCAAAGGCTGTTGTTCAGGGTTTGGCTTCCACCTCACATGGCTGGGCTTGCGCTTTGGCTTTCTGTCCTGGGATCCAGAGAGTCCAAACACCGGCCCTGCTCTCTGGTTTATTTTGGTGGAGCCCTTGAAATCTGCTCATGGCCCCCCCAGGGGTCCCCAGACCTCTAGCTGAGAGCCACTGATCTAGAGCCCTAGAGAGTACAGCTAATGTGCCACCTCTTCCAAAAAAGCACAATAACTTTTGAAGAGTCTCTAGTGACATTTTTTGCAAACACAAATGAAGTGAGCAGAATTTTTCTTGTAGCCTGCCAACCTCTGCCCTTGGGGCACCTTTTTTTTTTAAAATCTAGTACTCTCACTTGGCCACCTAAGACAACAGACTTTCATCACCATGCCTCTAGCATCAGCCAACATCCCTGCTAGCCAGCGCACAAGTTAACAGCATCCATATCAAAGACAGTCTGTGAGGGGTATCACTTGTTTCTTTGCAGGTTTCTGATGTAGATGGGATTCCAGAAAGGATATACCCTCTCTGATCCAAAAGCCCGGACACCCAGAAGAGGGAGGCCAGACAGGTCCAGAAGCAGGTTGCTATTGCACTGTGGAAACTTTCTACCCCAGACTACTACAGGTCAGTAGCTAACTAGTTTCATGATGGCAAATCAGCTGTTGGTGCTGTGGTGTTGGAAGTTTGTGAGGCAATTATTGCTGTAGTTTACCCACAGGTGGTGAAGGTTGTTAATGTCCTCAAAATAAAGCTGGCTTTGAGAGAAGAGGGCTTCTGAATTGTGTTAGGACTATTGATGACCCACACATGCCCATTGTCCACCCCGCAACAAGGTACGCATGGATGTGTCAACCAGAAAGGAGACTACTTGCTGATTATGCAGGTTCTGGCTCATGAAACTGTACCCTGATTGCAGAGCACCTGGCAGGTGACAGTTTAATTACATACTGAACAGTTACAGGATTATGGTGGAATGTGCATTTGGTTGACTGAAGACAAGATGGCTATACCTACAAACCCATTTGGGTGCCCAGTGAGTATAAAGCAATCCAGGTTACAGGGACATGCTACGCATGTCAAGAGAAGGGGAAGAACTTTCCCCAGGAGTGGGTTGGAGGCTGTATTGGTTTGCAGAGTTGTTATTCACATTAATTTAGCTATTATTAATTTGGACTTCATTAAAAGTTCTGGGTCTTCATTGTTTCCCCCCACACTTACACATTGATGGGTCATATACACAAATACTTTTTAAAATAAAGGACACAAGCAATCCAACTGCCACTATATTAGGCAAAATTCAATCAAAATCTAAAAGGGGGTATAAACTGAATCAAAAGTGAAGTGTCCCAGGAAATGGAATTTCACATCACCAGTGTACCTCTTCTCCTTCCCCAACGGATGCACCACGTGTAATTCACATGAGAAATTATAAATAGATTGTCTAATTATATTTTGTATTGGGGACACTCTAAGGGACCATCCCCATTCTGATCTTCATCTCAGCTAACCTGATTAGTCCCCAGCTAATTTTGAAATGCCTAAATGATCTTTTGATGGGGTTGCAGTTTTTTCTACTCTTCCTTTCCTCCCTGTTATGTACAACGTTCAGTCATAATCAAACTTCTAAATATAGGTCACTTCTGGAGTGACTTGATTTCCCTGAATTCTTCATGCATGGAGGAAACATCTTTAATGTTTCTATCAGTAACAGGAAGATGCTGTCTCTGCCACTCCTCCTTTGCCCTTGGAAAAAAGTATGATCACCAATATAATGCCTGCCTGGCACCAAAGAGAGATGTAAATTAGAATACTTTGATATTCAAAAGATAGCACAGTAGTTTACATGAAAGAGACAGAAGAGGAGCTTATTTTGGAGCTAACTTAGCATCAGCAGTGCCATGTCAAGTTTCAGTATCACATATTTCTGGTGACAAGTAATGTGGTCTTAGTGTATCACACAGCAGCCCACTGACTGGCCTGAGAAGTGGGCAAAACTCATTTGTTTTAGAGTAGCAGCTGTGTTAGTCTTTGTTACAAGTGAGCTGTAGCTCACGAAAGCTTATGCTCAAATAAATTGTTAGTCTCTAAGGTGCCACAAGTCCTCCTTTTCTTTTTTCATTTGTTTTAGTTTGCTGATGTTTGAGACCAGGGAGGGGAAGTGGGATTGCTTCAAGTGAGCTCACCACTCCCTCATTTTGCTTTAAAACTCAAAAAGGTAAACTCAAATTCATTGAGTAAGGTTATACACAAAACCTAGATTATAATAATTAGTACCCCTTTTTAATGTTCTCCCTTCATCTCCCCCATTCTTGTTTAGCACTTTCTTTTTGCATGTTTAGCAGCTAAGATGAGATTAACAATATGGCTAATGGAAAAATGTTTTTGTATGAAACAAAGCAATTTATTTGTTTTAAACTATATTAACATGAGAACATTAGAATGGCCATACTAGATCAGACGAATGGTCCACCTAGACAGTACCCTGTCTTCTGACAATGGCCTATGCCGGATGCTTCAGGAATGAACAGAACAGCGCAATTTATCGAGTGATCCATACCCTGTTTCTGCCAATCAGAATACCCACCGTATTGCGGACATGATACCTGCCCTCACTCACAACCAGTACTGACAACAGCTATCCTGCTGATGTGAACAGGATTTACTGAGTTCACACTTCCTTCTCTGTTGTAGTCTCTCCCTTCATCATGTCACACTGTACTGCAACCTGATTCAGCAAGGTACTTAAATACATCAGTAATCCCAATGACTTCAGCGAGACTACTCCAGTACTTAGAAAGGTTGGCACACACTGAAGTACCCTGTCATTCTGGGTGGTTAGACTAACTACTTGGGACAGAAATGCCTTTATTCTGCCTGGATAGTGCAATACAAATCTATGAACTTATGAAGCAATATATAAATGTTACATCACCACAATTATATTATAAATCCAGCACTACTGAACTGCAGTGCCTTTTGTGGTGGAACAAGGAACCCAAGCATGACTCCTGGTGCTACATAACAGCATAGAAGAAGGGCAAAGTTTATACAGTGACAACCCCTATGCTTTAACAGTCACACATTGCAGACAGGACTTCAGCTGTAATGTCTTGTCTGGTGTTTGGACAGTAAACATAAGATTCGCTTTATCTACCTTGAGGATGGATGAAGGGCTAAATAAACCTTGCCCAGATTTGATCCTGTTGCTCCAGCAAGACTAAATATTTTGGACCACTAAGCCAAGTCCCAGAGCACTACTGTTGTTGGGTAGAATTTCTTTCTCTGCTGAAAATGTCTGTGCCAGACAAATCCCTTCTCCAATCCCTCCCATTCCTTCGCAGTTTGTATGGGATGAGAATCTTTCATCTCTATGTGGGCTCTGTAGAAACTGTTAAAGACAGGATACAGTGAGGGATATTTCCTCTCTCTGGTGCAGTGCTGCTCTGTGCTCCTCACAGCAGGAACTCCAAGGGTAAATTGACTAAAATGTGGCACACCGTACATGCTGCAGTCTGGGTAAGAGGGGTTGCCATTTGGAAGGTTCTGAAGTAATTACTGTAAAATTTGCTAAGATTATTATTTTGTTTACATATTTGAGTTTTCAAATGTCAAAGTGATTTAGATAGCTTGATGTATTTTTATTTAGAAAAATGGCATTAATTAAAAAAAAGTTAAGCATATAGGGAAAAATACAGCTGGCTATTCACATTCTGGAGAAATTCCATACATTCCCATGCTGTTGCTGGAGCACATCAGCAAGGATGGCCATCCCAATTCTTGCTCCCCTATAAACCTACAGAAAGGCAGCCCAGCAAGTTCTGTTGAAAGGACACGTGAGTATTGGACCTTGGGTTGTGTTCTGTATATTAATAGACATACGCTCTCTAACTAGCAATGTTTACAGACTCCAATGCATATTATTGCAAAATGGAGTAGGTACTAATTGTATTAAGTTTTCTGTTCTGACATCCAGCATATGGATGCACAATAAGACACCATTAACATGAATTTGGTACGTGGCAGAGTTGGGAGACTCATTAGACCCATTTCCAATAGTTTGCCAGGATTTATCCCTAGCCTTCGTATTAGAATAAGCCCATTTAATCATTTGGGGACTACATGCTGAGTTTTGAAAGTAATTATTGTTCACAGGCTTTGTGCACTAGCATTTTACAATTCACTTTAAGGGGCACTGGCAGGGTCACAGAGCTACCTAGAGGTATGTAAAGAATGCCAAAGGACCTCTGGTTGTTTCTAAGAAAAACAGAAACTAATGAAGAGAGTGATGAAATGAAAAGACTCAAGGGGAAATTAGACAACAAAAAGTTAAAATAGTGTTACAACTGAGCCTGGGGATGTTAGAGTAGCTTTAATTCAACCCCACTGTACCTGTGCACTTCAGCACTTTATCCTTTACTAGAACAATCCACAAAACTGGCAAAAGTTCCATCCCGCAGTGGAGAAATTAAGTGCTACACTAACATATCTGTTGGTTAACTATTGTGCATGGCTTTGACCACGCCATTCATTTTTGTTATGGAGCCACTCTGGTTGTATATCATTACCCGCTACTGGGAAACCCTCTAATAAAGAAAAAAAAGGCACATATTGTCCTTTGATTTGAATACTTTGAGGATCTCTACTGGAAGCACCATACCAAAAAAGGAGGGTGTATAGAGCACTAAGCTCGTGAGGCAAAGTGGAAGAGAATTTACTTCATTAGTTGAATGCGTGTGTTCAGATTGGTACTGTAACAAAGCTCTATCCTTGTCTCCATGGGTCCCAAATTTCCTGGCAGATTACATGAGCCTCAGAGGCTCAGTGTGACCCTCCACATAGCCCTTCTCTCTCAAGAGGCAAGGGTCACAGCTTACTGAGCCATTTTCATCATAAGCCAGCAAGGGAGGTGAGGAGAAGCAATCCTCCCTTGCACAGTCTCTGTTATCTCCCAGTCTCCATGATTAACCAGGGAAAGGAGTGGGGAGCCCAGGCCCACCCTCTACTCCAGGCCAGGGACCCTAATATTAGCAGCTATGGTAGCTGACTTTTTGGAAATAGGACATGTACGATTCCCTGGGCCACTTCCCCACAGCAGCCTCCTCTCAATATCTCCTTCACCATTACCTTAGGGCCTCCTTCCTTATATCAGATACAGATTTGTATTGCTTAGTTCCTCCAACAGCACAGCATCCTCCTACAGCTCCTGACACACACACCTCACTGACTAACTGGGAGGCTTTTAACTAGTTCCAGCCAGCCTTTGATTGGCTTCAGGTGTCCCAATCAACCTAGCTATCTCCACTGCTTTCTAGAAGGATCTTAATTGGCCCCTGGTGTCTTGATTAACCTTGAACAACTGCCATTTGGTTACCATGGTACCAGGGATTTGTTTAGCCTGGGGCTAACATACCTGTTCCTCACTACTTTACTGTTGCCATCTGGCCTTGCCCAGTCACAGTACATAAGAAGTTACTTCCTCTATTAGTCGTAGAATTTATTATGCAGCAAAGAAATACGGCAGAACAAAGGACAGAGAAAAATACAATTAAAAGTTCTAAAAGCTCAATCTTGCAAACACTAATAGCAGCATTTGTTGGATTGGGCCATAATTAATCAATTACCAA